CTGAGCTAAATCCCCAGCCCCCAAATCAGGATATTTAGATTGCACTGGGTAAATTATAAGAGCAACATGGAAGATTATTTATTTATTTACGTATGACACTCAGGATTGAACCCAGGGCCTTTGTACTGAGCTACGTTCCCAGCTATTTTATTTTATCTATCATTTTGACACAGGGTTTCACAAAACCACTAGTTTGCCCAGGCTGGGCTCAGACTTGGATTCTCCTATATCAGCCTCCCAAGATTCTAACTGGAAGTTTATTTTTAAATGTCAGTTTTTCCAGTGTGTTACAAAAATGACCTATTTCCAACTATTAAACTTATAATGAAAGAAATTGATGTTACCTTTCAAATTTGCAAGGCACAAGTAGGTGATTTTTTTTTTCTTTGAGGTACAAAGCAAGAGTGAGGACAGTGAGGCTAGAGCTGCTGTGAGATTCCGTCTTGAGGGTAGCTTCCCTTGGAGCCCAACCAGAGTCGGGATTGTGTGTGTGTGATCTATTGAGGAGGAGATCACAGCAGAACTAGTGAGGGCAGGGAAGAAGCAGGGCCAGGGTAAGATGAGAGCCAAACAACGGTGTCATCTCTGCAAAGTCCCGTAGAGGGCAGCTAAAGCCTGCTCCTTCAAAGGGCCTCAGGCGGCTAAGGCTGCAGGGAAGTCCTGACCAGTAGCAAGAAAACTGGGCTTCTTTCATCCCTCCAGGATCTCTGATTGGTCGAGAGCCGCCGTAGGGAGAGATGTAAACTTGAAGCCTCCCCATTAGTTTAGCGGCAGCCCTCTGAAGAATATGTTTTTGATACCAGGAATTGAACTCAGGACCTTGTGCTTGCCAGGCAGGTACTTGTGCCACTGAGCTATATCCCCAGCTCTTCAAGTGTATTTAAGAATACTGACTACTAAATTTGCTCAGCATGGAATTTAAATCATAAATATGGCAGTGTTTTCTCAGGAAAAGAGTATGTCCATAGTTCTGCGTATATGGAACATGATCAAATTATCTTTTAAAATAAAAAAATTATTACAGTAGAAAACACTTTGCCATTAATCCTCCTCAAAATGCCCCTCCCTGCTTTGTACACACTTTTCTCATTGTTCTTGCCACTTCCTGAAGCAGTTCTGAAAGTCCTCTTTTGTGATCATCTGTAGTTGTGCTTTGTGGCTGCCTGGATGCATTAATTAACTCAAAATATTGACTTCCCATGGTCATTTTGACTTTGGGGAAGAGCCAAAGTCACATGACGCCAGATGTGGTGAATGAGGTAGATGAGGACACAACATAACATTTTTATTTTACAGAAATTGTGATCATAAAATATAATCTATATTTAAATTTTAAAATATATTATAATAAAAGATACAGTGCCATTAGTGTCCTTGAAAATACCCAAAATACTCCTCCTTGCTTTAAACACCTTTATCCCATTGCTCTTGGCAGTGTGTCTTTTACTATAATGTCATCTTTAAAATGTAAACATTCACTCTATCTTGTGATTATCCTTTTTGTGATGTTCATTTATGTTTATTATGATATCACTCTGAACTGGACTTTTATTTGACTACTGAAAATATCAAGAACTCTACTCATAGACGACATATGAAGGAGTGGACTCTTGAAAGAATATTCTAAGCAAATATAATGATATTGAGAGAAATGCATATCTTTGTATTTTGCAGACAATCAAGACCCAAGATAATCACAGCAGAAGAGAAAATAACCCCATTGGCATGTTTAATTTCATGTGGTTCTAACAAGAAAGGATGCCATCTATTACAGTGGTCAATGGCAGGACTTCTTCATGAAAACAACTGAATGAGCATGCTAAATTTTGCTCTTGGTCTCAGATCTGGAAAAACTTTTCTGAATAAAGTCATCAATGAACAGACTTAAGCAACTGGGAATGATTTCATTTCTCCTAAGAACTGGAATTACAGAACTTGAAGAATTAATTGAATTTTTTGATGTCTCTGTTTATGAATTTTGAGCAATTTTGATGATGTAACTGCTGAAAGATTTTATTATAATTTCTGTCACATACCTATCTTGGATTGGATTCTTGAATAAAAAGAATTTACAATTAGAATTTCTCAGGATTTTTTTTACCTAATTATAGCAATGAAAATCCATGCACATGTCTTTGGATATGGTATGATCCCAATATTGCCCACAGCACTGATTGTCTGTAAAACATACCAGTCAGGCTACTGCCCCTCCATCAAAATGTCTACAAAGGAATGGGATAAATTCATGACAAAGGAAAAATGAGAAGAAGATACGTTTATGATCTTTTGCCTTATGATCATTTGTTCTACATTTTAGTATATTTTACTTTGTGTATATTTTGATTTTGCTCCAAAAAATCATAAATAGGAGGAGGAAGATAGAGCTTTCTCAAACGGGAAGGAGATGAGACGGGGGGGAGGGGGAGGGAGGGGAGGAAAGGGAATGAAGAAAAGAATTAAGATGTGAGCACATGTACCAACTCCACACAAGAAACATCAACTATGCATTGTTTACATGTATTAAAAAACCTGTAGAAATGCATAAATATTCTATATGGCCAGAACGGTTCTTGTCACAATATAGCAAGAGACAAATTCTAAAATAAATACAAATCTAACCCAGAAATTTGTTCTATTTTTATGCAATATTAGTCTTACTCAGATGCTTTAGAATATAATACAAGAATAAATGTATTTAGAAAATACACGTAAAATAAACCAATAACAAATTAGGTTTAAAAGTCATTCAGTTTGATTAAGGCAACAAGTAATCACCAATGTGGTGAGTGTGCATTGTATAAAAAATAAAAGGACTCTTAATAGGACAAGATGACTGGCAATTTAGTATTTTTCCATGTAATTTCCTTAACATAGCTGTTATTTATATAATTTGAAAATAATCAATTAATTCTAAGTTGTTGGAATTTTTAAATTTTTTTATTGCCCTCTGAGTTCTAAAGTAAATTATTCATTTGTAAAGTTTTGTTTTTCCTTAAGACCACTGCAGGTTGTGTGTGTGTGTGTCTGTGTATGCATGTGCACATGTGTGTACCTGTGGCCACATATAAATGTCTATAAATGTATGCATGAAGAACACATCAGATCCCTAAATCTGAAAATGGCATGGTTATAAGAAAAATGAAACCATGGCAACTCATGCTCTGCTGAGGGCATATAAATCATCACAACTTTGAACAGCATTTTACCAGTATCTAGTACAGCCAGTGACACCGTCGCTAGATCTGTAGATCTATGTGTGAAAAGATCTTGCCCATATATATAAGGGGCCAAATGCAAATATATTCATGGCAGCACTATGTGTTTTAGTAAACAGTTGAAACCAATCTAAATATCTGAATGTGGTGTATTCATATAATGGAATGTGATACAGCAGTTAAATTGATAAACTGGAGTTGCATCTATAAACATGGGCAAATCTCAATGATAATAAT